ACTTGTAGCAGGTCATCAAGTAGTACCTATAACAGTGGCCAATTTCTCTAAATGTGAGCAGACACTTAAGGAAGGGGGCATTGTTGGATGTATGACAGGAGGTTGAGCCAGTCAATGTAAAAGCAAAAAATAGAACCATAAAGAAAGGACATACACTCCCAGAACATTTAACTGACCTCTATAAGAAAAGCATAGTCCATTTGTCATCATCACAGGCTCTTCAGGTTAGGGAACTTTTGGCAAATTTTGCAGACGTCTTTCGAAAGGAGATCATGACCTCGGCTGCACAGACCTTGTGGAACACAGAATAAACACAGGCAATCACCGTCCAATAAAGATCCCTCCAAAAAGAATAGCTCTGGCAAAGCGATAAGAGTTGGAGAAGGTCATGGATGGCCTAATTAAGGAAGGGATAGTCGAGAAATCAGATAGTCCCTGGTCAACTCCCATTTGTGTTAGTGCAGAAGAAGGATGGGACCCAACGTTGCTGTGTGGAGATAATCGCAGGCAGACAGAGACGGACAATTGAGTCAAGCGCGGTACTGACCGTAAGTAAAGTGCGTGAATCATTTTTAATTATAGCGTGAATTTAAGTTAAAGTGACTGTGGAAATTAAGTGTATTGCAAAGTTGTATTCAGAAAGAATAAACTAGTTTTATTTAAGAAAGGACTTATAACGCTGAAGTTTCTGGGAAAGAATTTCTACGGAAAATTAACAAACGAACAGAGACGTAACAATATATTATTACAGGAAGGCTAGGCCTTATACATAATTAAGGTGAGCAATTTTTTACCATATATATATATATATCATATCATATTATATTATATATATCATATGCTGTTAAGTTATTAAAACAAATAATTATTTTACCTGAGGATGAGAAGAGTATCCGCAACTGACGCTGTGGACGAAATCACTTTCGCGACACAAAGAATGACGATATAAGGGACAAACATACCACAATTAAATGGACAATAAGATCTGGTGGTAAAGGAAACGACCAGTTCTTTCTTGTGATCATGTACGCATGAACAGTTGGTGTAAATCTAAATAGATGCAAAAGCATGAGATATTTTATATTTGTTTTATCCATTCCACTCATAAATACATACGTTAATCAACGATTGTGTCTTATTAAAGACATTCACTTCATTATCACGAGGGTTACTTTATAAAAAAAAAAAACAACTTCGAAGAGCGATCTACTCCAAGTTTTGAAGCAAGAGTGGGCGAAAATCCCACAATCTAAAATTGACGAGATGATTCTCACGATGCCCCAAAGGATCAACGAACTCCACGAAGCGAAAGGAAGATCTATTAGATATTAATTAAATTACAAATATATCAATTCATGTGAATATGACTGAAATTCTTCATTTTTTCTGAAAAGGTAGTGTCTATTTACTTGTGACCACGCTGTGTACAGTGACCTCTATCATATTTATGCTTATACAAACTAACGCGATTAATAACCATCCTAGAACGAGAAAGCTGCATGATACTAAAATGTAAAGTTAACAGTGTCATAGTTCTTGTAGATAACCTTTCTGCAAGACAGTGAAAATATGTGCTTCAGTAATACAAAATTACCGAAACCTAAACTAAACTGTATTCAAATTGTACGAATGTTTTAGTACTGAATTCATACAACTCAGGTTGCAATGATCAATATAACTGTTTATAAGTTCTCAAATAATCTAGTTCAAACGAAAGTAGAAGCTCACTGGACGTTTCCACAGTTTATGGTAACCCTTAATCATTTTCCTTTAGATTTACCAAAAGCACTACTGAGGCTGTTTAAAAATCCTATACTTGTGTGCCATAGCCTGGCTGCTAATATGATCATGATTGGGATATTAGGATACATGATAACACTGCCTCGTTACCTGGAAAACCAATTCCGGAAATCTGCTTCCTCAGCCAGTTTCTACACAGGTATGTAAAACTTTATTTAATTACCAGTCCTGAGCCTGTTTATACACAGATATGTAAAAACCCCATTTAATTACCTATCCTCAGCCTGTTTACACAGGTATGAAAAACTTTATGTAATTACCAGTCCTGAGCCTGTTTCTACACAGGTATGTAAAAACTCCATTTAATTACCTGTCCTGAGCCTGTTTATACACAGGTATGTAAAAACTCCATTTAATTACTTGTCCTGAGCCTGTTTATACACAGGTATGTAAAAACTCCATTTAATTACCTGTCCTCAGCCTGTTTCTACACAGGTATGTAAAACTCCATTTAATTACCTGTCCTCAGCCTGTTTATACACAGGTATGGAAAACTATTTAATTACCTGTCCTGAGCCAGCTGGTACACGGGTATGTAGAGATCCCATTTTGTTCTTGTTCTCAGCCAGTTTCTACAAAAGTTTATACAGATCCCACTTAGTTCCTGTCCACAGCCAGTTTCTACAAAGTTATGTACAGATCTCGTTCAGTTCTTGTCCTTAGCCAGGCTTTACACAGGAAAGTATCTCGTTTACTCCCTGGCCTCACCTACTTTCTACACAGTTATGTAAAGATCCCGTTTACATCCTGTCCTCAGCCTGTTTCTACACAGGTACGTGCAGATCCAGTTTAGTTCCTGCCCTCAGTCCGTTTCTACACAGGTATGTACAGATCTGGTTTATTAAACAGTGATATTAAAATACTGATATTAAAAAGTGATACTAAATACAGTTACTAAATAACAAATTACAGATAAATTAAACAATGATATTAAACAGTGATATTAAATACAGTTATATTAATAACACTGGTAGTAATTACAGATATATTAAACAATGATATTAAACAGTGATATTAAATACAGTTATATTAATAACACAGATAGTAAGTTCATAATCAACCAGTAAATAAAAAAGGTTAACACGTGACTGCCACTAAGACCTTGGAAAAGAGCATGCTGCAGCTACTTAGATGAAAGGATTTTATTAAACAGATAGTTCTGTGAATTTATGGTGATATATTCTGACCTTCTTTTTCTTTATTTTTTTTTCGTTTTAAGAATTCCATTCGGATTTTAAAAAAATGCTCATTTTTAAAATATTTTTTTGTTTTAAAATTTCATTAACACAAGTCAGTCCTTTTAATTTTAATGGATTCCAGTTATATAAAATCCGATGTTTGTTTTATTTCCAAAATCCAATTAAAATGATAAGATTTGTTGTTTTTTCTAGCAATTTTACTAAATTGGTAAACATATAAGTGGGTTTTTCTATCTCAGAAAGCAGTCAGGTGATATTTGTTACTGTATTTATAGGCACCCTCACTATGTTTACTATGGTTGTGGGTAACGCTGGTGGAGGTGCTGTAATAAAGAAAGTGAAACCTCGTCCTCGTTATCTTACTGGCTATCTTGTAGCTGTTAGAATCATTACTTTGGGTGGACTGCTGGCTTCCATGTTCTTGGGGTGCTCATCCATCTATATGCCAGGAACTACGGTTGAAAGTAACCGGTAAGACAAAACAAAAGAGTATGTAGATAGTAACAAATCGACGAGTTTTGAAATATACGGATGAAAATGTCTGTTTCTTGTTTCAGTCTTAACTTGGTCAACCAGTGTAATCAAAACTGTAACTGTACTACGGAAGTATTTGAACCCCTATGCGGGCCCGATGGTCGCGCCATCTATTTTTCACCATGTCACGCCGGATGCACTGGTAGCGAGGATTTACGAGAGACTAATTCGGTTAGTTTTACTGCTGTTACTTTTCTTTCAGTCAACTACCTGTTTGGGTTTAATATTTGTAAGATTGACGAAATAATGCCTGTGTGTTTATTATAATAAATAAAACGGCCCCCTGGTTTTGCTTATAGATAACATTTTCTAAACTTACTGACACAATCTTGTTCTTTAATTTTTACAGACTAATCACAACTTGTTTTCGTTGAATCTGAGGATGAAATATCATTTTAAAAAATTCAAATATTTATTTACTTTAACGATGGAGAAGATTTTGTTTATTTTATTTTATTTCGTGTTTCAGTTTGAGATATTTAACACAATGTAACTGTTTCTCCACAAAAAACATTTTTCCTATCGAAAATCTTCAATCACTGGGCTGACTTTGACCTTTGACCTATCAGCTACCAGCTCAGATATTTAGTTTTGTTTATCTTCCTAACCCAGTTTATCGCTAGTATTTTCAAGGATTTTGTTTTCCCTAAGTTTTGTATCTGAAGCAGTTAAAAAAACCTGATGCAAAAAAAATTACACATCACGTACATTGAGGATCAAGTTTCTTCTCTGTTGAACTTTCGGACTATCCTTTTTTTCAACACCATTGGTTTGGTAGAACACGCTATGATTTACTTTACTCTCACGCATTTAAAACAAAAATTACTGAAATTTTGTCCACCGGTAAACAGCGGTAAATCTACAGACTTACAACGCTAAAATCTGGGGTTCGATTCCCTGCGTTGGACTCAGCAGGTAGCCCAATGTGGCTTTCTCTAAAACAAATAACAGACTAAGATGTTAGTTTATAATAAGGTTTTCTATTTGAGAATTTTATATTAAATAATGAAAAGTTTGTTTATTGTTAAGCACAAAGCTACACATTTCATATGAAGTAGCTGTATTAGATGTTAATTCTTCTGGAATGTTAATGTAAAGGACGTGTCAATTATTCCCCAGATTTAAATTTGACTGAAAACAAGTACGCAATATGTTGCCAAGGCAACTAAGGTACTAAGGTTAGTGAGGAAATGTTTATAATATGCTTAACCTTTTTAACTAAAAGGTCTGGTGCTAGGGTGCTCCACTCGCAATCTGTAGGTCACGGGATCATTATCCGATAATTAGCATGCCCTCCCCCTTTCATCTGTGGAGGCGTTATAATATAACGATCAATCACACTATTCGTTGATAAAGAGTAGTCCAAGAGTTGAATGTGGGTTCTGCCTTCGTTGTGGTCGGCAGTTCAAAATTAAGGACGGTGGTAGACGTTGCCGCAAACAAATAAACAATTCTAATAAGAAACAAACCAGTTTACAATTTTTTCTAAATTATTGCTTTCTTTATTGAAATTATTGTATAAATTGGCAGAAATTTTGAAAAACGAGAAAGTTTATGACCAGGGTTCCTGTAAAAATGAAATAAGCTAACAGATCGGTAGTTTTTGTGATACAGATGTTGAGTGCATTATTTAAAACTATCTTGAATACGCAAACCATTAAGTCACATGTAGATAGTGTATTGTCACCAAAAAGTGAACTGCTTTGGGGAAAATCCTTAACAATCTTTTCTGATGCAAAATATTCATACGTTTAGATCATAAACGTGTGTTCATATCGGTAATTTAGAATTTCGAAGTTGGGGATATCCTTTGTATTTTATGGCATTGGAAAGTAGAGGAATGTGGATCAATTTGGGGTGGACGGACTATCCACCAAGAGACCTGCAACAAGCCGTGACTAGCAGCTTCTATGTATTCCTTTGTGATTGGACTGTTGATAGAAGCTTTGGAAAGCTGTCGTTCTCGAACATTAGATGGATTGTGGGAAGCCAGCATGGAGGAGAGACGTGCTTTGAAAATGTCTTCTCCATATGATTGTCTAATAAGAAGACAATTATGATGTAACACCACGCAAACAACAATCTGCTTACTTGAAAACTGCTTAGGGCTAGTAATGAAATATTTGTTAAAAGTTATTACCAATCTGAATATGATGTAACACCACACAAACTATCAATCTACTTACTAGAAACTGTATAGAGCTGGTAAAGAAAGATTTGTTAAAACTCTTACCAGTTTTATTGTGATGTAATACCACACAAATTACTAATCTCTAAATCACGGTTTGCCAGCTTGTGCGTTATGTTATTTGTGAAATAATAAATTTATATCAGTATAAATAGTCAAATTAGATTTATGAAGAAAATTTTATGTGTTTCAGGAATTTTTAAGTTTAGTTTAGAAAGTCTGTATTTGTTTAGTCGTGGCCTAATATTGGTCTTAAGGAAAACAAACATCAATTAATGATAAAATTTACTAAATATACATATATATTAAATAATTTAACATAGATTAAAATATATTATAATATTAACATGTATTTGTGTTGTTGTTGTTTCTTGACTTGCCGGTCGAGTATGGCCCAGAGGTTTTCGATGGGGTTCATGTCAGGAGATTGGCTCGGCCAGGGCAACTTCTGGATACCATTTTCTTCCTGCCACTTTTGGATGTTTCTAGCAGTGTGACACGGTGCTCCATCTTCCTGAAACAACGTTATGTTCTTGTCCACGAAACCCGAGGAATAAAGTGGCAAGAGTCCTTCCTCCAATATTTCGACGTATTTCGCAAAATTTATGTTGCCAACGCACTCCACTAAGCTCGATCTCCCACCAACCCAAACAGCTCCCCAAACCAACACGCTGAAACTACCGTGCTTCACAGATGGCTGCAATCTGTTGAGCCAAAACTCTTGATGAGGCATTCTCCAGCTCCATATCCTTCCACTGTCCGAAAATTGAGCGAATCTTGATTCGTCTGAGAACAATACGGTCTTCCAAAAGTCCAGAGGCCTGGTCATCATATCACTTGCCCACTTCTTTCGTCTGACTATGTTGGCAGGTCTTAATAAGGGCTTCCGTCTAGCTGCTCTGCAACGATAACCCAATCTGTTGAGAATCCGTTGAACAGATTTCGGGCTCATCTCACCAACTTTGGCCACTTCTGCAGTCGTTAATCTGGGATCCATTTCGATGCTCCTCTTGACAGCCCTTTTTGTCCTCTTCGATGGACCAGGACGACCCGGACGCTGCTCAGTTGTTTCCTGAACTGCACGATGATTCTGTTAGACGTCGAAAGCGGGATTCCCAAATTCTACGAAATTTGCCGCTGACTTATTCC